ACTAACCTGGGAGCATCTTTTCACAGGGATTAAGGATTTTGTGGCTTGCAATCATTTGCGGAGTTACAAGTATTACTCAGACAGTATTATCTACCCTGATGGATTTCTAGGCTATCCTTGTGCTTCATATGAACTTTTTCAAGCAGTAAGTATTTCTCAGAGCCTCAGGATGGACTATATTGAAAAGTGTGGTATTAATGATCATAGGTAATTGTGCTCTGATTTATGCATCTGAAATTCAATGTATTTGTGCTAGCTTGCACCCAGCAAGTGCATCTGTAAGAGAAGGAAGTGTCAGACATCCTCAAGTGTTACAGCTTGTGCAGATGATGTGGGTCAAAGTAGGAAAAGGCAATAGCAGAGCAGGGACATACCTGGTTCTGCAGTGCTGTGGCAGTCCTGAGCCACTACTGGAGCTATTCTGCTACACCAAGCTGGGGAAAGGGAAAGGAGGGGAGCCTGTAAGAAGAGAATCTTCTTATCAGTTGCTGAGATGGACAGTTCTCCTCTCTGATGCACTTCAAGACTACTCAAGGTTGTCACTGATGGGGATGTTTTGAGCCTAATGGCCCAAGAAAAAACACAGGGCCCTGGAATATCAGAGACTTTGAGAAAGCTGTCTAGCTTATATGATCTTTCTGATGTCATAGAAAGGGTTACTTGAATTATGTTTTTCCTGTGATAATGCCCAGTTAGGTGGGTATGTTAAAAATAAGTCCTAAGACTACACTTTATTTTCTCTTGGCTGGATGGATAATGCTATTAATAGGTTTATTTGTTTTCCCTAGGGAAACTGTTTCCCATGCCCAGAAGGGGGATGCCCAAATATGGGTCACTATGCAGATAAATTCAAAGAGAAATTCAAAAATGATTTTGTGAAACTTTACCTGAACACTGGAGAGGCCAAGGATTTTCCTCGTGAGTTTTGATTCTTTCCATTGCCAACTATTCCTTGTAAAAAATATTGTTGACAAGGTAGAGAGTCTAGAGTATGTCACTTAGAAGTTTAGTGGCTTGCACTGCAAGGTGTAAGGAGAAGGGACAATAGGCAATTCACATAAGTGGCAGCAAGGAAATTTCTTACTAAACAGTATAAAAATTGCATTCTCAATAACAGTAGTTAACTGCAGAAAGACAGACCCTGAGAGGCAGGGAAATATCCATCCTTGGAGGTGTTCAAAACCTCCTTTGGCAAAGGCCAAGAGCAATCCAATCACAGGTGTCCTGGTTTCAGAACTGGATGGACCAGATGATCTCCTTTACCACCTCAGTTATCCTGAATGTCAGTTCTCACAACACATTTTTTCCTTTGCCTTCGTAAACACATATTGGAACCTTCTGAAGCTGCTTTTGCAGAATGAAGTTCCTACCCACAAATATAATTTTCCTTGAGCTTCAGAATTTGTTTACACTGCTTAGTTTCTGTATGTGTCCATATTTATTCTAACACCTCCTTCATTCCTTCTTCACTGTGTATGAAAATCTTCATGGCCAAAATGCTGAGCTCTGTATTGTGTTTACCATGATATGGACTTGTTTTCTCTTTTTTTCTCTCCCAGAAACTAGCACAGTGTTTATGTTGGACTCATTAGGACATAATGACAGATTTGACTCAATGATGCTTTCAACTACAGTGTACAGACAGAAAAAAATCAGCATGTGATATTTTAGAGACTGTTTTTCCCTGGCTACAACCTAACTTACTATATTTCTTCTGTGTAGTTTGGAGGTACAAGGTAACCGTGACTCTCTCTGGAAAGAGCAAAGTAAGAGGATACGTGAATGTTGCCCTGTATGGCACTGATGGGAACACAAAGCAGTACCAAATCACCACGTAAGTTCATCAGCCAGTAGAAGAGAAACTTCCCTTCTAGAATGCTTAATTCATGTTCTAAATGAATACTTGTTTTAATTGATCTTATTTGAGTGATTAGATTCTACCCTTGATGTAAATGAGTCAATAATTCACTTACTCTAGGTTTAGACTTGAAAGGAAAATATTAGAATATAGGATTTTAACATGACAGAATTTAGTGTTGCTTGCTCTTTTTTTGTTGCAAGAAGGACTTGCTGGACCTGCACTAGCAGATTTCTGATCTTTTGTCTTACACAGACTTGTAACTCTTGTGCTGCTGACTCAGCTTCTTACAGTTACCTTGTGATTTCCTACACGAAAATCTACTTTATGTTGCTCATACGTTTTCCTGTCATTTATGTGGAAATATTTCAATTTATGTGCAAATTTCATTTATATTTATAAACAACAGGGACTGAGCTCTACCTTCTCCACTGTGATTATCCCCTAACTGGGTCTTCATTGTGAGCTGTGGCTGCAGCTTGTCAGGCCCACTTGCCTTTGCTGCCTCTGAAAAACACTGGTTTGGAATGAAATGCCTCAGAATATTGGCAAGAATGTTGTGACCATATAATAAGAAATACTGTGCCTCTAACTTTCACCTCACACCACAGCCAAGCCATTGACAGGACTGGAAATTAAGAGGAAATGCTGTCATGCCTCACATCCATCAAATGTTATTTTTCACAGGGGAACCCTCAAACCAGACAACACTTACACAGCCTTCATTGATGCAGAAACCAATGTTGGAAAAATTACCAAGGTTAAATTTCTTTGGAACAACAACTGGATAAGTCCATTTTACCCTAAACTAGGAGCTGCTACTATCACAGTAGAAGCTGGACAAAATGGAACAGAGTAAGTATTTCCATGGTGAAAATCTTGAAAGTTACTTGAGAAGATAGGTGACAAAAGTGTAAGTGGAGGGAAAGCCTTTTCACAAGAAAACCTATTTAACGCATTAAAGGACGCAGAATCCCAAGAAAACCTTTTATTTCCTTCCTTTCAAACACTTTCATCTGTAGTTCAACTCACTACAACTTCAACTCTTTGCCTTAAATAAATTCAAAGAAAAACTTAAAATCTATCCAGTTTTACAAGAGCAAACATCCTGTAGAACCTTTTAGGTGAGAGAAATTACTGCTGGCTTGGACTGTCAGCCACATTCTTGCCAAGCTCCTAGTGTCCACAACAACTGGTGATTTGTGTGTCTGATTCCCTGTCAGCTGAGAGTATTCCACTGATATGGATGGTCTTGAGGTCATGATTGACAAAAGAGGATGGGGATGATAAGCCTACCCTTTCAAAGAGGGAGACTAATACTTGGACTGCACT